GCCACACATTTATTAAGAAGTGGAACAGTCTTCAAAACCAGACTTTCTGACCCTAAAACATATAATTTTATATGTAAACTTGGCTAGCCTATGATACCCAGTTGTTTGGCCAAACACCAGACCAGATGTTGCCATAAAGGTATTTTTTAGATGGGATTAACATTTAAAGCAGTAGATTTTCAGTAAAGCAGATTATCCTCCATGATATGGGTGGGTTTCACCTAGTAAGTTGTAAGCCTTAAGAGAAAAGGCTGAAGTTTTTTGGGGAAGGAGGAATTCTGCTTTCACACTGCCTTTGAACTCAAGACTGCAACATCAACTCTTCCTGGGTCTCTAGCCTGCTAGCGTGTCTTGCAGATTTCAGACTCACCACACCTCACAATTGTGTGTGCCAATTCCTTCAAATGTCTCTTTATATACATCCTATTGGTTCTGTTTCTCTGGAGAACTATGACTAGTGCAATAAGAAATACAAAGGACTATAGTACTACATCAAAATAAAAAGCTTTTGCACAGGGAAGTAAACCATCAACAAAAACAAAAAGGCAACGTACTGAATGGGAGAAGATATTTGCAAATGACATATCTGATAAAGGATTAATATCTAAAATATATAAAGAACTGATACAACTCAACATCAAAAACCAAACCAAAACAAAACCCAAACAATCCACTTAAAAAAATGGGCAGAGGACCTGAATGGACAATTTTCCAAAGAAGATATATAGATGGTCAATAAGCACATGAAAAGATTCTCAACATCATTTAATCATCAGAGAAATGCAAATCAAAGCCACGGTGAGACATTCATTATCTTACACATGTCAGAATGACTAAAGTCAAAAACACCAGAAAAACAAGCATTGGCAAGGATGTGGAGGAAAAGTAAGCCTCACACGCCATTGGTGGGAATGTAAATTGGTACGGCCAATGTGAAGAACAGTATGGAGTTTCCTCAAAAAATAAAAAACAGAGGGGGCGTTTGGGTGGCGCAGTCGGTTGAGCGTCCGACTTCAGCCAGGTCACGATCTCGCGGTCCGTGGGTTCGAGCCCCACGTCGGGCTCTGGGCTGATGGCTCAGAGCCTGGAGCCTGTTTCCGATTCTGTGTCTCCCTCTCTCTCTGCCCCTCCCCCGTTCATGCTCTGTCTCTCTCTGTCCCAAAAATAAATAAACGTTGAAAAAAAATTTTTTTAAATAAAAAAAATAAAAAACAGATACCATATGATCCAATAATCTTACTGCTGGGTACTTACCTAAAGAAAATGAAAATAGTAATTTGGAAAGATATATGCTCCTCTGTGTTTACTGAAGCATTATTTGCAATAGCCAAGATATGGAAGCAACCTAAAAGCCCAATAGACTAATGGATAAGGATGATATAGTGTGTGTGTGTGTGTGTGTGTGTGTGTGTGTGTGTGTGTGTGTGTGCGTGCGCATGTGCGCACACACACACAGGAGTATTATGCAGCCATAAAAAGGATGAAATTATGCCATTTGTGACAACATGGATGGACCTAGAGAATATTATGCTAAGAGAAATGAGTCAGGCTGAGAAACACAAATACCATATGATTTCTCTCATATGTGGAATCTTAAGATAAAAAGAATAAACAAAAGCAGAATTATACCTGCAAATACAGAGAACAAACTGATGGTTGCCAGAGGGGAGACTGGGGGGAATGGGCAAAATGGGTGAAGGGGATTGGGAGATACAGGCTTCCAGTTATGGAATGAATAAATATGGAAATAAAAGGCACAGCATAAGGAATATAGTCAATGGTATTGTGATAGTGTCATATAGTTACAGAGGGTAGCTACCCTTAGGGTGAGCATAGCATAATATATAAGCTTGTTGAATTGCTATGTTGTACACCTGTAATGTAACATTTTGTGTCTACACTCAAATTTAAAAAATGATTAAGAAAAGGTTCTTCAAAAAATACAAAGAACTATATGTTCGTGTTGCCTTTCTAATAGTTACTAATCAGATCATCTTGGCAATTCACTTAACTTCATTTTGGCTTTAGTTTCTTTATCTGCAAAGTAAATAAATCATTTTAGACCAGGATTTCTTAATCTTGGCACAATTCACATTTTGGGTTAGGTAATACTTTGTCGTGAGGGGGACTGTCCTATGCTTTGTAGGATGGTTAGCAGCATCTGTGGCTCTGTCCACTAGATGCCAGTAGTATCATCCAGTTGTGACAATGATGTATATCTCCAGACATTTTCAAGTATCTCCTAGCTGGGAGGCAGGGGACAAAAATCCGTCCCATCCTATTTGAGCACTGCTATATTGGATCATCTTAAGTTATAATAAATGCATATGTAATGTTATTGTGGAGATTATACAGGCTGAGGCAGCTTTGGAAATTTCAGGAGAAGGCTGTTTGGCCATTTAATGGGATGTTATAGAGGCGATATGCTAATATTCTGTAATTCTTATTTGCCTCAGTTCCTATAAGAAAGAAACAAAAAATGGAGGGAGGCCAGAAAGGTTGGCAACATAAAGCTCTTGGCAAAGCATAAGCTGCAGGCAAATTGAGGGCAGTCATAGGAGTGAGAGAGAATAGATAAAAAGGGAAGAACGGTGGAATTTAGGGCCTATCCTCTCAGAAATAAATCTTATCTGGGAAACAGTTGTTTCAAATCCAAGCCACCAGTGGCAACCTTGCACTCAGTACTGGGTGGAGGGCATTGTCTACCACAGGGCCTGTGGGTGGGGGTTGCTGGGCTTTGTGGATGCACAGGAATTTGTAGAAGTCTACATGATTTTGCAGTGCATATTGCCTTGCTAATAGTAATGCAAAGAAAGTTATTTTTCCAAAGAATACTTTAGGGGGTGGGATGAGGAGGGAGTATGGTTTGCCTGAGTAAGTGCAGTCATCTTCAGGCTCCTTCCTGTTAAATGATCAAGAAGAAAAAAATAAAGCAGCATTCCACTGGATGGTGCTATATCAGACTTATTCGTGAAACATGGCTAAATTAAGTTTGATATGACCCTGTCTTTCCCAGCATGTTTTCTCAGTCCTTTTGAAATGATTTAGATTTAGCTATACTTCAAATGAAAGATACCTGCCAATTAAATTAATTACCTGCCAATTAATTTGGATTTAGCTATACTTCAAATGAAAGATACCTGCCAATTAAAAAATTTTTTTCCATTCTAGGGTTAATCTCCACCTCTGATTCAAAACATGCACATTTCCATTCCAAGCAAGTTGTCAACAAAGTGAGGCTCAGGCCCAGAAGGCACCAGAACATGCTGTGTTCTTAGCAAAAGATTTGTTCCTTTTTTCTATTTTAATCATTGCCATAGTCAGGTGATTAATAACAGTACTACTGGGTTGCAAGTACAAGCAAAATTGATATAAAACCCTTTTAGCTTTAATTTCTTTAACACTTTGCTGACTGTTAGTCAGAGTTGAGTTTTGTGCCTACCCTTGGCAGGCTGAGGCATTAAAAAGGCAGAAGTTGGGATATTGAAATACTATGCACAGCTCTGAAATATAATTGTGTGCTCCAAAAGGTAGCCCTATATAGCAGACCCTTGGAGTTCTGGTTACATGGCATTTAGCAAGGGAACTTAGCTACTTGGATAACTGGGTAGCCTCATGTCAAAACAAGCAGTTCTAAGGGCTCATTTAAGCAATTATTTCCCAACTGGGAAGTTGTGGGATTCACAGCCTACTGAAATTTTTCATCAGAAAAAGGATACAAATATCCTATCTTTTATAAATCTGTAAGTCAGTCTACCAGTATGGATGAGCCAAGGGAAGGAACCCCCTGCAGTCGTTATAAGTGGTTTTTTGTTTGTTTTGTTTTGTTTTGTTTTGTTTTTAAGGAAGAGAAACTATTGTTGACCCTCATCAGAGTGAGGCTTCAGTTATATAGCAAAATAGTAAGGGGCCATCAAAGGCGGTGGGGGTAGTAGTCAGGGTGGAGGATAGGTGGGGAGAATTACTGCATTACACATGGCCCAAATCCCATTTAAAACACGGACAGAAAATAAAGGCAAAATAAAATGGTGTCAAAGGTGGTTCGAGTTAGGCAGAGAACAAGTAAAGTCAAAGTCAAAGATAGAAGTCAAGAAAATGGAAGAAAAACCTGCCCTCATGTATTTCCCATACACCTCTGTTTATCAAAAAATATTAAAAACATAATACTGCATTTTTTTCCCACATATTTTCCATCAAAATAATGGAGAGGAAAGCTGAGCACAAGTGAACCAGCTGGGACACTGGGTTGCTAAAGCAAACAGAAAATTCCACTTGAACAGTTTTGCCTAAGGGCAGGGCCTGATCATGAAGTGTATTTCCTTCAAAACTCACTAGCAATAATTCTTTCTCTTAGCATAGTAGAAACATCTTGGTAAAAATCCTTATCAAACAAATACAAACTATAACAACTGATTTAAAGATTTAAAGACAGTGAGAAGCAGAAGGAAGGATGGCAGAGGGGACCCTTCAGGACTTCCAGCCAGTAGTTGGTGCATGAACCACTGTTTGGAGTTGTAAGTTCAGTCCCATTGATGTACCTCAGAGATCTCCCTGGAGTCTGTGTCTCCCCTGTTCTAGAGAAACAATTCTTAAATTATCAAGTGTCCCTCCTCTGGCTCCTTTCTACCCCCACTCATAAGTTAACATACATTCTGTGAAAAAAAAAAGAAAGAAAAGTTTCTCAGTAAAACACATTTGAAAACCACTCATACTCTTATCTCCATTTTAGAGATTTCTGGTGCACTTGGGCATTTTACAGAGTAGAAAAAAATGCTGAGAAGCTCTGGGAAAGGAAAATCTGTATCTGAACTTAGCATTTCCCAAATTGAAATCCCCTTCCCCATCCTCACCTTCACCCCCACGAATACCTATTAGTGTTTCACAGGCCACTAGTATTCTCTAGAAGAGTGTTCACGGAAATCTACTCCAGGGATAAAAGTATTACATCTTTTGGCCCCATTGAGAGGATTGTGAAGATTGAGCAGACTTACCAAAAGGATCTACTTAATATCCTGAGAGTTCAGATTTTTGCTTAAATTTGGCTTCTTGGTACAGTTGTTTAGCTTTTGCCCTATCATTCTCCTAATTGAAACATCATCTGTGTTGGGAAATAACTGTTTTGTGACTCCTGTAAACAACAACAACAACAAATACACAAAAACACTTTTTGAGGCCTTTGCATCATAAGGTATGAACTGAGATAAAACATCAAACAATTCACATTATACTTTTGTCTCCACTTTGCAAAGGCAGCCCAAACACCCATGAGATATTTAAATAGATGAGTATATAGGCAGGGTTTTCAAAGCAAAGCAAGAGATATGGAAGGTCTATGTCTTCCTATGGTACCACTCAACTTTAACCTTGCTACTTGCTCTTAACTCTAGATCCCCTTGCTCCACAATGTTAGGAATTTATTTTTATCCATTCCCAGCAAACAGTTGAAACAACTAGATTCTGACTGATCCTTTGGTAGCTAAGAAATGGTATATTAAAATACAGAGAGCTCAGATTCAGTGATTTCCTAAATTTGTTTGATATTTGCAAAAAAAAATTATTTGGTAATCTAGATTATTATATTTGAGGAGATTCATTAACTTAAAAACCATAAATAGGAAATTAGCCTCTATTTTTCTAGCATAAAAGATAAGGGATCTACAACCAAGATAAGAAACAGAAAATAAGATATAAACTGCTACTTGAAATTTTGTTTGAAAGGATTTTGAAAAGCATTTTTCTAAAGCTATGAATTTAAAAAGTTCAAACATGTCACTGAAATAAAATTTAGTTTTATTTTAATGACTGCTTTAATATAAAATTTTTCTGCAAAATACACCATATTTAATAAGAGGTTTAGGCTATCTTGAGATTTTCCTTTCATAGAAAAATAAACAACAAAAAGACCATGAAACAATGACTTAACTTGGAATGATAAAAGAATTTCAAATTAATGTGACAATGTACTACAATTATATTATCACCTATGATTTCTTGAACTTCATTCTGATTCATAGCTGGTTTTACAGCTTTGTCCCTCGAAGTAGAGGACTTTGCGCCAGTCAGGCTGTGTGTGGCCATGTATTCGTTCGTGTAAAGTACTTGCATTAAATCATTAATAAACTTCTGAGGCTTGCTCTTGTTACAACGGGCAATCTGCCATTTTTCAATCTTGAACTAAAAAATACAAAATAATAATTGAACCTGAACAAAGAAAAGGAAAGTATCTGCAGAAATATATTACTGATTGAGTTAAGACACACTAGAAAACACAATTAACGTTCTTTAAGGTGATGAATTTACTTAAAAAAAATTTTTTTTAAGGTTTATTCATTTTTCAGAGACAGAACATGAGCAGGGGAGGGGCAGAGAGAGAGGGAGACACAGAATCTGAAGCAGTCTCCAGGCTCTGAGCTGTCAGCACAGTGCCTGACAAGGGGCTCGAACTCACGGACTATGAGATCATGACCCTAGCGGAAGTCAGACACTCAACTGATTGAGCCACACAGGCACCCTGGTGATGAATTTACTTTTAATATGTATTTTACATTTCAGGGGTTCAAGTTCAATGTTATCTTTGATATAACTCCCAATATTTATGTAGTGTTTGTTCCAGAGTACATACAAATTCTTGTATGTGATCTGGATTTGATGGTTTAAGAATGAGTCCCATCCCCAACACCTCCTACTAAATGTGGTAGGCAGAATAATGGCCCACTGAAGATACCCCCATCCCTGGAGTCTGTGAATATGTTACCTTATAAGCGAAAAACAACTTTGTAGGCGTGATTAACTACTTTGAGATGAGAAAATTATCCTGGATTATACAGATGGACCCAATTTTATAACAGAGCACTTAGATGCAGAAGAGGGAGGCAGAAGAGTGGATCAGAAAAAAGATGCAGGGGGCACCTGGGTGGCTCAGTCGGTTAAACGTCCAAATCTTGATTTCGGTTCAGGTCATGTGCTGACAGTGCAGAGCCTGCTTGGGATTCTCTCTTTCTCTCTCTCTCTGATGCTCCCCCCACCTCTCAAATATAAATAAATAAATATTAAGAAAAAAATGCAGAAGAAGGAGGACAGAGTGGAAGAGTGAGAGAGGCTTTGCCTGTCATGGTGGAATGGACCACAAACCAAGGAATATGGTTGCCTGTAGAAGTGGGAATGGACTCCAGTGTATAGTCAGCAAGAAAACGGGAACCCAGTTCAACAACCACAAGAAACTGAATTCTATGATAACCTAGATGAGCAGGAAACAATTCTTCCATAGAGCCTCCAGAAAGGAATGCACCTGCTGACTCCTTGATTTTACCACACTTCTGACCTATAGGACTCTGAGATAATGCATTTGTATTATTACAAATCACAAAGTTTGTGGTCTTCTGTTATATAGCAAAAAGAAACTGATATACCAAGATTCAAATATTCTCAATGTTAGATTGGTAGTATTTAATTATTGCTCTGGAAGGCATATTTTCAAAGCTGATACCTCATTCTAATGAAACTCTGTCTTTTCAGCTTCTGTTACTTGATGAAGAGAAATTAGGGAAGTAGGAAAAGAACTATGTTTATTCAGCATGCAGAGGCTGAAATTTACCTTCTCCCAATGATGTAATTTTGTAATCCTTAATGCAAAGTTACCTATCACTGGTTTAAGAGTTTTCTGGTTGGCTCAGTCGGTTAAGCATCTGCCTTTGGCTCAAACCATGATCTCATGGTTTGTGAGTTCAAGCCCTGGATCCAGCTCTGTGCTGACAGCATTGGAGCCTGCTTGGGATTCTCTCTTTCTGCTCCTCCCCCACTTGCATTTCTCTCTCTCTCAAAATAAATACATAAACTTAAAAAAAAGAGTTTTCCAGTTTAATAACCTCATCATTGACCACAATTTGACTTTAGTTTTCTAAATTGGATATTTGTGAAACAAATGTTGTTTTGATTTATTGTAAAAAAATTGTTTTATGTAATTGCAGTGTTATGGTCATGACCTAAAGTTACCTAAAGTTATCTGATAAAACAATGATTATTTTGTAGTCTTTTTTTTTTTTTTAGATTTAATTTTTGAGTAATCTCTATACCCAACATGGTACTCAAACCGAGTCCATGGACCACGGACTGAGCCAGCCAGGAGCTCCATCATTTTGTAGTCTTCTTTTAATTTTTGTATTTACTATATCCCAGAAAAAGAAAGGGCGAGTATTCCAACTCACCTGTTTCTCATCAGTATGAGGCTCTTCTTCAGCCTTCAAGGAAATTGGTGAACTGGAATTAGAATTAGAATTACTGCATGTTGAGGCAAATGAATCTGGTGAGGAGTTGTTTGTTGCTCTCCAGAGGGTGGATGCAGATGTAGACATAGTTCCTCCACCCTTAAGTAGGGCCTCTGCCATACCAACCAATTCTTCAAACTGGGTGACTGCCTGTGGTAACACTAAAATGGCAAGAAAAAGTAACAGTTTACAAATACTTTTAATAACAGGGGCATGTATTCTTATTTTTTATTGTGGTATACATATATTATATTGCGTGTATAGAAATAGGTGGGACAAATTGTTAACATTTTCTACTTTTAGAAACTAAGCATGGCAAGAAAAGTGATTGGGACATACTCACTTTTTATTATTTAGTTTAACAATGGCTTAATAATAGTAAATCAATTTAAAAATATTTGGTTATTGGGGGTGGCTGGGTGAGTAAGTCAGTTAAGCGTCTGATTCTTGATTTTGGCCCAGGTCATGATCTCATGGTTTGTGGGTTCAAGCCCCATGTTGGGCTCTGTGTTGACAGTGTGGAGCCAGCTTAGGATTCTCTGTCTCTCCCTTCTCTCTCTCATAAATAAATAAATAAATAAATAAATAAATAAATAAATAAATAAATAAATAAACTTAAAAAAATATATATGCATTACTTCATAACTAAAATAACTAAATGAATTATAAAATAATGAAAATGAATTAAAGAGTTGATTCTTTTTTTCTAATCATTAATAGTATTATCTGGAAGTTTTAAATCTCATTTGGAGACATTACTGATTCTATTATCAATCACCTTCCCAATATATCAGGACAATTTAAGTGACCAGTAAAATAAACCATTTCTATTTAAATTTATTAAAATAACATTTCAATGATGCTTGTGTGTGGTTTTCCAAGGAGTCAAATTTCATCAAACTAATAAAAATCTATTGCCATAATTCAAAACTATGTTTTCACATATTAAAGATGAATTTTGGTAATCAGCTGAATGTTCTCTTTGTTCCTTTTTAAATGGAAACTTACACATTCAAAGGTGATCATGTCTCCATGTAAAATGGTCTTCTCTGTTGTTATATCTAGTTTGTTTCCTAAGGACAAATAACATTTTGTTGGAGTTGGAAGACACATTGAACCCTATCTAATTTAGCTCCCACTCTATGGTTGAGGGTACTGGATGTTGGAGAAATAAAAAGACTCTAAAGCATTTTTGGACTTTTCTTAAGCACATTATTAAGCCATAATCTTTAGACCAATATTTGATTTGAAAGCTGAAAACCAGCATATTGATAATATGTACAAATCAATACACCTGGTACCATATTAATAGAAAAATAGTAAAATCTACTAAAGAAAATCTTCTTTTATATTCTTTCAGTTGATATTTACTAAGCATCTCTCATGTGCCAGACACTAATTCAATAAGCATTATTTATTGAGCATTTAATAATAAACATTTATCTAGATTTTACTCTGTGTCAGGCACTATTCTGAGAACTTTACTGATGTTCATTCATTTAATCCTCATTGCTCTCTGAGATAGATATTATCATTACCCCTAGTTTACAGATGAGGACAATTAGGCAGTGAGACAGGTTAAAAAACCCATCCAGGGTCAACCCAGTCAGTGAAAAGAAGACCAAGATTCAAATTCAGACTTAGGCAATTCCATGCCATAAACAACTATGTTAGGTAGATTGTCAACATTTGCTAAACACCATATTAAATGCTAAGACTGAGACTGGGAGCAAAACCAAATGTGATCCTGGCCTTTTGGAACTGAGGTGGAGGAAAGAGGGGGAGGAGCACTATTTACCCAACCATGGTGTGGAGTAAGAATTTGGCCTGCTTAAAGAGAGATCTGGCCTCCACCTAACCACCTAGTTCCTGAAAGGTAGCCTGTAAACCCTTGGAATTTCCTGAGTGACAGGAGGCATGTCTTTGTTTTTCAGGGTGAGCCTCTCAGCCCACATCTGATAGTTTATGCTAAGATATATCTCAGCGTGTGGACAATCACACCCAATAGTCTTAGTGTAGAAGCAGACCACAGCCAGAAAGCTAGAATGATTTAGATACTGAGTTCAACATACGCAACCAACCAATCAATCAATTAATCATGCCTACACAATGAACCTTCAATAAAAACTCTGAACATTGGAGTTCCAGTGAGCTTCCTAGATGGACAATACTCCATGCATATTGTAACATATAAATGCTAGGAGGGCAATGCATCCTGAAGACAACAGAAGCTCACATTTGGAAGCCACCCTGACTCTGCCCTATGTGTGTCTTCCAACTTTGGCTGGTTCTAATTTGTATTCTTTTCCTGTAATTTTCAGTGAGTTGTGAGTTTCTCTAGAAAATTAATGGAGCTGAGGGTGGTTTTGGAAAATGTCTGAGCTTATAGTTGGCATCCGAAGTGTTAGGCAAATGTAGCAGTCTAGAGGGCAGTGCCCTTAACTTTGCAGTTGGGTTAACTTGAGGTACATACAAAGAAATGAAAAATTACAATTGTTAAGTGTCACAAGAGAGGGGCATAATATGTTTAACTCAGCCTGGGGAGGGGAGGCATATGGAGGGCTTCTCTGGGGACATCAAGATTGACCTGAGAGCCAAAGGCTGAGCAGGGATTAAATAGCTGGAGGAAATGAGGAGGTCATCAGAGGCAAAGGAAATGCAAGTTCTATACTTGAGGAACTGTAAGAAGGCAGCTAGAATGTAAAGAGAAAAAGGGAATTTTCTATAAAGTGAGGTTTGAAGAATATTTACTGATTTTTTCCTAATAATGAAAGTTGGACATGTTCATTGGAATGTATCCTTCTTGTCATTTCTGTGTATCTTCACCCATATTCATGTATTTTCTTTTAAATAACTAGGACTGTACTATATACATAGCATTGTGTCATGGTTCTTTTTTCCAATTAAAACTGTAAGTTTAGTATTTGCCTATTTCACTAAATCTTCTTGGAAAATATGATCTTTTGAGGTCTAATTTACATAGACTCAAAGGCAAGATCCTACACAAAGTGTGAGCAGAAAATAAGTAGGTAAAAGGGGATAAGTTTGACAAAGTGATATACCCAGTTAATGGACACCCAACAAGATATAGAACATCTCCATCCATCCAGAAAGTTGTCTCTTGTCCCTTCCGAGTCAATCTCTAGACTTGCCTTAGAGGCAACCACTGATTTGAATTTTTGGTCAGAGATAAGTTTTACCTGTTCTAGAATTACACATAAATGGTTTCAAATGGTATATTCTCAGTTTTTTTGGTCTGACTTTTTTTTTTTTTTTTTTTTTTTTTTTTGCTCTGCATAATGTTTTGAGATTCATTCATGTTGTTGTATGTATCAGTTATTCATTCCTTTTCATTGCTAATATTTTAATATGTGGATACTCCATAATTAAAGTTTTCATTCACCTGTTGATGGGTTATTTTCCACTTGAAAACATGATTTTAATGGTTCCCTAATATTCTGAGGTATTGATGTTTTATAATGTATTTAAATGCTCCCTTTTTTCAAATTTAGGTTGCTTCCAATTTTTCTTTATTTCAAACAAAACTTTTATGACTTGCGTAGCACATACATCTTCATATGTATCTCTGATCACAACAATGCTACAAATTCCTGAAAGCATAATAATAGGGTCAAAGGTATAAATGTTATCCAACCTCAACTAATACTTGCTCTCGAGAAAGATTCTTCCAACTTACACACCCACTAACAATGTAAGAAGTCAGCATTTCACTCCAGCATCAACAACAGGTGTTAACCACTAACAATAATCTTCACTATTTAGATAGGTTGAAGTGTTAATAAAATTTAAATTGCAATTATTTTATTATTGTGAAGTTAAATATATACTTATTTATTGATTATTTGACCTTCTATGAATTATCTGTTAGACCATGGAATATTAGTACTTAAAAAACTTTTTTCTAATGTTTATTTAATTTTTGAGAGAGAGACAGAGACAGAGCATAAGTGCAGGGGGGGCAGATAGAGAGGGAGACACAGAATCTGAAGTAGGCTCTAGGCTCTGAGCTGTCAGCACAGAGCCCAACTTGAGGATTGAACTCATGAACCACAAGACATGATTTGAGCCAAAGTCAGCTGCTTAAACGACTGAGCCACCCAGGTGCCCAGTATTTTTTTTAATGTAATCTCTATGCCCAATGTGGGGCTCAAACTTATGACCCTGAGTTCAAATGTTTCATGTTCTACCACCTGAGCCAGACAGTACTTTTTCTATTTTTGATAATTCAGTTTTTGTGAAGTGCTTATAATTGTGCCTAATGTGTTATAAGCACAGTGTGTTAGCTATTGTTATTTACTCCCTTATATGTTAAGCATTTTAACCTTTTATTTGTCATAAGTTGCAAGCATTTTTCTTAGAGTGTTTATCTTTTAATTTCATGATATTTTGAAAGCATACACACATTTTTAGTTTTTATTGTAAAGTAGCAGTCTTCTTCAGTGTATTATTTATTTTATGCTTACAAAGTCATTCACCTTTCAGATCAGTAAAATAGTCATATATTTTGTATGGTTTGAATGTTTTTTTACAAATGAGCTTTTTCCACCTGGATATAATTTTTAAACTTCTAATGGATAGTTCTGAACATAAACAAAAATTGTAAACTCCCATATATCCATCCCCCAGTTTCATCTCATAGCCAGTCTTGTTCTCTTTAAACCCCCATCCACTTTCTCTCCATCCCCAAGAATACTTCCAACAAATCATAGGCAGCATCTCATTTATCTGTAAATATTTCCATATGTATCTCTAAAGGCAAGAAAACATATAAACATATATGTTTAAAATATAAAAATATTACATAAATATAAAATAGAAACACAACACCATTGTGACAATCAACAGTTCTTTAATAACGTTAAAAAAAAACTAGTAAATGTCCAAATTTCTCTGATTTTCTCATCACTGTTGTTTTTTTCTTTATTTGAATCAGGATCCAAATAAAGTCCACGTGTTATGATTAGTTACTGTCCTTTTATAAACTATAGATTTTTTTTCCTCTCTGTCCTAGTTTTTTCTTTGGAATTTATTAAGTGAAGAAATTGGGTTGTAAGTTTTACAGGGTTTCCTGCAGTGGGATTTTGCTGATTGTATCTACAAGTCATGTTTAACTTATTATTCTGTTCCCTGTATTTGCTCT